CCATACGAGCTTCCTCCAATTCAATTTGATTCCTATGGTCCTCCCTAGATTTATATGTCACTGCAAATACCACCACAATAAATTTAACAAGAAAGCTCTCCAGCAGCAGTTGGATACACAATTCTCATTTTCCAAACAATACCAGAGACTGTCTTGCTTCCTCGTCTCAGTAATATAATTATGAAACAGCACAACTAAAATAGCGCAGGAATTTAACAGGGATTCAAGTTCATTAAGTTCCTTAAACTCATTCCTAAAGCGTAAAATCATTTTACCAACACAATCAACCCTACAAATTCTAAAGGCACAAATTGAATCCCCAAATTCCAAGCTCACTGATGACTATCCAACACCATCCATTCCGTAGACTAGAAAAAAGATATAAATCATAACAAAAATCACAACCTTTTCAGATTTATCTGAGTCGACGATTAATGTTTTATTCATATTTACATAAACGATAGGAGAAATAAGAGAAAGAAGAAAACGTACCTGATGCAGCTGCCATGTTTATACACGACAAAGCTTTACTTTACTAAACAGACGCACGTATTCCAATCCAATAAGAGAAAACCCTAAAAGGAAAAATCTGAGAGAGGAATAAATGGGTTTAAATCGGTTTCGAGAGACAGTTAATCTTTTCCCGCCCAAAGGACCACGTTTCCCAGCGATGAGAGCGGAGAGTCCTATTAGGATTGGGCTGGGTACGTGATATGGGCTTCGAATATTATGTCAGTTTTAACTCATTAATTTATTTCGGTTTGATTTACACTCGATATTTAAATTAAATTATTAAATTTAGTTTCTGAAAAATTTCAAATAAATCTAAAATATCATTTTAGCATAAAACCAAATGAAACAAACTAAAATTATTTTATTTATTTTAAATTGACTTTAACGTACATTGTAAATTATATAAATTCCCATTTAAAAATATTAATTAACTTCAATTTATAATAACATATCTTAGAATGATATTTCTCACAAAATATAAAAGTAATATTAATAAGGTAAATATCTTTAATTATTTAATACTTTAAAATTTTAATTTGGTTTCCAATCGAAACAGAGAACAAATCAAAGCTGAACTATACGTATAGTTTTGTTTGGTTTTTTATTTTGTAACAAAGAATACAGATCCTTAGCAATGACGATAGCCAAAATGAATAATGCACATGAGTAAATATTTTTTTTATATATAAAAACATAGATTTAATGGTAGTAATTAAATAATTTTGTTATTTTATAGATTTAGAAAATTTTTGTTCGAGGTACGGATTGTTGTACGTTCCCATCATGATTAATAAAGTTAATATAACTTATGATGTGGTATTTGATCTAGATCATTTTTTTTTAATGTTTTAAATGAATTTAAACATATAGAGAGATTTTAAAAAGAATTAAGAATGTAAAAAAAAAAAAAAAAAACTGAAAGGAGATGGACAGATAGACCGCTCGAATCAAATGAAGGGTCAAGTTTTTTCTGTTTTAAAATTGGTTAGACTGTTAGGGACAGCTGGTGATCTCATTAGATTTCCAATATCTTCACACAATAAACAAGGCAGAAAATCAAAAGAGTATTAAAAATTCTATTTTTTTCCGGTTAGATTTTTTTACATATTTATTTATAAATTTATATTTAATTTAATTAGAAAATCATAAAAATTGAAATATTATATATATATATAACTTTTATGATGAACTCAACTAATATAAAGTATATTATTAAAAAATGAAGTTGTGCTACAATTTTCATAATATTTTAGTTGAATTAAGGTTCTATTTTGATTAAATCTAAATATTATGTAAAATTTTCTATTTGCAAATCCACATCTATTAAGTGGAAGAATATGTAAACTTTGTCAAAATTAGCCAAAAAAAGAAAAGGACTCTCATACCATATTTTAAGTAGAAATAAAACATTTATATACGTTGATCCATATATACACAGATATGATATCTATTATAAATTATTTAAATTACGTTGTAATTATTACAATATTCCAATACTATTATCTATTTTTTTTGTGTAAAATTTTTTTATATTTGATGCAATATATTAAAAAAATAAATTTCATATGAGAACAAACGTGAGCATAATTCAACTTAAACTTATGATTTTTTATATAGTAATGAACATGCTTTAACATTGAGTTAAGTAGTGATTGGTCAATATTCTAATATCATAATTAGGTATTTAAATATTAATATTATATGGGAAGAACTTAATACAATAGAAATTAATGAAAATATAAAAGTAGTCTTAGCTAATTATAAATAACTTCATAAATTTACATAATTAATTAATCTAGATTAACAAGAAGAAAAGAATATATATTACTTACTGTAAAGATCAAGATGAAAAGAGATTTAGAAAGTTTGTAAATAAATAATTACCATTGATAATCATAATCCTTATGTACAAATGTGGACTGTTTGTATACAATAAACACTAAATGTACGTACATATAAACCTAGCAACACATATGAGAAGGTAGCAGTATCCAGTATGACATGAGCTGCCCCCTTAGGGCCAAATTGAACAATGCAGCATTCAATAAATTCACGAACACACAACAAATGGGGTATAATGCATGTGGGCTACCTTAATGTATAATATATATATATATATATATGAAGAAACAAAACATGAATACCATATAACTAAGGAATTATAAGAAAACCATGCTGTTATGAATCTGATCAAATGATTTCATTTCTTCCAAGCTTGAACCCACGTGCACCTCATCATCTCTAAAGTTGTTTTCATCCAAGTTCATGTCCCACAACAACCCATACTCATCATCACCACCTTTGCACCCACCTACTACCTCGGTGCTGGGTACCACTACGACGTCGTTTGAATCCTTCTCCTGCGCTGCTGCATATCCATGGAGAAGCGTACTCAACAGAGAATTACTCTGCGGTATTTGATGATGACGAGAGAAGGATGAGGAGGTGATTTGCTCATACCCGCATGGGAAATAATCGTTTTGTTGATGATGAGTTAAAGGTGATGATGTTACTGGGTGGTTCACAGAAGAAGGGAGAATAATATTGTGTGTATATGTATCGTACATGGATTCTGGACTGAGTGCTTTTATGCTGTTCTCTCCTCCTTTGGTTTTGTGGAAAACTCTACACAGAACCCAGTCCTCCTGTCATCATCATCAAGAACCCCACATGTTACGCACTTGAAAAAGAAAAGCCTCAAATAATTAATCATGCATGTCTAAAGCTTCAGCTTACCCATTATACTAAACATGTCTGTACATATATGATTAATTAACTATTACGTGGCATTAGATATATGCATATATAAAAATTTTGATCCCACTCGGGGCAAATGAGAACGTAGGACATTTGGGGCCATTGTCCCTTAGAATATAATAATGAGGGAAGTTGAAATTAAGATAAACAGACCTTAGGAGGCATGTGTGGGGTCTCCAAACGAAATTCATGCATTATCCAACCTGTTTTGATCCCATTCGGAGCTCGGTTCCTGTAGAACACCAACGTCTTTCTCATCCCTACTATCTCTTTTGTTCTTGGATCCATCACCGTCCGATCTTTTCCAGTTGCTTTCCAGTACCCAGATGTCGTCGCTCGATTCGTTCTAAACCCTGTCGCATATTTTCTGTCACGGAAGCTGAAGAAGTACCATTCGTTTGCATTCAGCTTCGCCACTTCTTTACAACCACACACAACAAAATACCCACCTTAAGTATATATAGAGATATATATACACACACACACACACACACACACAATGTAAAAATATATATAATAATATGATTAGTATTATGTAGTTATTTGATATAGTTATGCATTAAACATTTACCGTGGGAAATAAATAAAGTGTTAATAACCAAACGATGAAGATGACTTAATTTTAACCATTAGTATGATAACATTTGTGGGTTAAGTCCAAGAAACTTTAGATATATCTATACATGTATGTGCTTGGTGAGTGTGTATGTATGTATACACAGACAGACGTAGAGTGACGAATGTATATGTGTAGGTGGTAGCGGAGTTTGTATAAATGTATGTATATAAAGGGTTGAACAGTGACAAGGAATATTTACAGGACCACAAAGTGTAGGGTTTAAGAAAGAGACAAAATGAAAGGGAGAGTTTTTTTCTTTTTTTCATTAATTGGGTTTGGAGGATAGTGTTAGTGAGGTAAGCTTTGTGTGTATAATGATAGGTTTCTTGCGTAACTGGACTTACTTGCTCCTTAAGACAATTACTCAAAACTCATCATCTACCTGGGTACTAACTAATTTCACATATACAAATCCTATGTATCTTTTATATATATACATATATATTTCAATTAATTATGTTATTAATTATTATTATTATTATTATTATTATATTCTGGCGAGATCTAGTAAACAAAATCATCAAAAAGTCAAAGAAAGAAAAAAAAAAAAAAAAAGGATCAAGGAGAAAAAAGACAGGAAAGGGAAAGAACCCTAAGCTTAGCTAGATACTACTACTTGTGAACCCTATAATTTTATTCATGGGGTATCCAAACCAATCATTACTCTCTGCAATTATTATTACTAATCAGGACTGATTTTATTTTTCAGAATTCATTTAATTTTTCTAAGGTACAATATAGATCAGAATTAATCACTCAGAACTATATATACATACATACATACATATATCATGATTATAGCTTTGGAACTTAACTAAATACGAATCCTAAATGTTGAATTGAATAAATTTCCATCAATTGGTCACGATGATGTATATATTATTAAGTGAAAAAAGCAAGTACTGAATTTTTAGCTAGTGACTAGACACCACGTAAAGAGAGGTAACTAAGTTGCCTTATTTTACTTATTGCTACATGATCAGGATAAGCATCATCCCTAACCCAGGTCAGATAACTGGCACACACACACACACACACACACACACATATATATATATGTATATCTACAGTTATAGCATATATTTACGTGCACCTTAATCTGTGGCGGCCATTTATTTCTTCTTAAAGGTAAACTCCAAATTTACCTTGATCTGTGGTGGCCATTAATAATTTTACATTTGTACTAATTAATGTCTAATACTTGTTTACTTCTCTTAATTAGGAGCTCATGAGGATTGCAGCTACCTTCATATTTATCCGAAAATATATGTACCGGACCAACTTTTTCTTAACTTAACCCTTGTTATATCTAACGTATGAAAGTATAGTCAGTTTATGCATATTATACATATATGCTACGTGTAAACATCATATAATAACGACTACTATGACCGATCAAAAAAAAATTTGAGAAAGAAATCATGAAATCTAAGAATGTTTTGCACGTGAATTCTGGGTGTAAATAATCATTATAGTTAATTTACAAAATGTTATGTACTTGGGATAATATCAACTTCCATAAAATATGTGGATGAATTATAATGTGCATGCTGATTAGATCCTAATTTTCTACATAAGAAACCAAAATAAACAACATGCAAAAAAGTTGAATAACCTTTTATGTTAATATTGGAAGAGAACATAGGCGAAGCTGGTTGTTCCCGTGCACATTAATTCATAAACAGAAGAAAACTGCTGTATGTATGTGTGTGTGTGTGTGTGTGTGTGTGTATATTATTCTCCTTCTCTCTCTAAAATGCATATATAGATATATAAAGTGGTGATTTGCTCTGTAGCTATGGATGTCTCTGTGTGTGTTTTTGTGTGAGTATATATACATACATATATATATATATATAAGTAAAGTGATTACAGAGAGTTGTTTGTTGTCATCTGTTTGTCTTGAAGCTGGCACAAAAATATGGTGAAGAGGCGAACAAGAAAGTGAGTACAAACTACACTACCGATTGACCTAAACCTTTTATCAACCCGTCAGCTTAACAGACAAGTATCTTTTCAAAACAGAGCCCTTCTAATTTGTTTGTTAATGCAATTGAGGCATATAGTTTCTGCATGCATATACATGTATATAAATATGTGTATAATGAAAAAGAAAGATAAGCAGTACTACCGCAACAAAAAGAAGAAGGAGAAGAAGAAGAAGAAGAAGAATAAAGAAGAAAGAAGAAGAGTTACCAGGAAGCTGCCATGGCTCGCAAGTATGCAAGTCGATTTCGACGAGGGTACCCTTGAGAACTTGAGGATCATTTGTAATCTTTTTGAAGAGATAATGGCAGACCAGCTCCTCATCGCTTGGGTAAAACCTGAACCCAGGTGGAAGTGTAGCTCCAATATCTCTCAGCCCCATATTACCAAATCTATATTGGTGGACTACAATTAATTCGATCAAAACAATACACAAATCTTTTTCTTTATATAATTAATGATATGGTATAGTGAGGGGAGAGAAATATATATGTAGATATGGAGGAGAGAGGCTGATTTTAATACAAGCTATAAGCTAGTTATATCTATATATGTATATATATAGGTGATGGCATATATATATATATATATATTATAAATAAGTAATTATATGGATGGGAATAATGGGTTTAAGGGTGAATATGAGTATATATAGCAAAATAAGGGGTGCATGACAGGTGTGGCTTAGCAAGCTGTTAGAATTTCTTACAATATATATATATATATTCTGGTGAAGACCATGCTTGTGTAAGTATATATAGTTAGTTATGGGAGGGGATGTTCCAAATTTACAAGAAATCTTCCTAGCTAGCTAGCAAACAGTTTTTATTAGGCAACCCATCCAAAACCCTTCTTTTTTTCTTACTTTATAATTATAACATTTACTGTCAAGGAAGCTTAATAATTAATTAAATATTAAATCAGATTATCTAAGAATATTCTTTGAAATCCAATTATTATCTTCTTAATTTTTATATTTACGATAATTAATATTGAAGTTAAAAACAAATAGATGCAATGCATGCCTCCAGTCATTTTCAAAACATTTACTTTTTATTTATTTACTTTTTTCATATATGATTAATATTTAATCCTCTTTTGAAGTCAACCTAATCAAGGGGTCAAAAAATAATTACAGATCCAATGAATCTTAATTTTGATTAACAGGAAAGAAAGGGTTTTATTGAAATGATGCAGTCAGAACCTAAGTTGTTGAATGAGTGAAACTCTTAATTTGTAATTTCGAACTCTCTAATCATGATTATTATTAATTTGGAAATTAATATGCATATGCATACACATGTATTTTTCCAAATAATTGGGTTTCACATATCCGTAATACGACCCCACACCTCCTCTTAAATATAATGGGATCAGAATCAGGATTACGTGGCCAATTATTTTATTACAAAAGGACATATAAACTAGAATATCCTAAGTTTTATCAATTCCACATATTTAATTAATTAAAGGGTTTAATTAATGTAGCCACCTGCAATTATATACCTTAATGACATGTTTGATTTGCTTAAACACGATTTTAAACTTGGATTAATTTGGTCCATCCCTCAATAAAATATCCCAAAAGAAAATTAAAAAAAAAAAAACAATTAGTGTCCCATAGCACGTGAACCATTTGATTGATCACCCATTAAAAAATATGACAACTCAAAAAAAAAATAATAAAAAAAAAATTAATAGCTGGCAACAAAAAGAAATAGAATGTTATTTTATAATTAATTTATGAAATTTCCCATATAAATATTATTTATGTATGTATATATCTGTTCAAATTGTGATCACAAAAAAGAATGGGGCCCAACGTGGGGTCCGCTAATGATGATGGACATGAAACCCATGTCATGCATGTAGATACATATATAGTGAAGTTAATCAACAAACTGGGTTTGAGTAATGCTAGAAAGGCAATAATGATGGAGATATGGACAAAAGTATATTTGTCATAACATTTATCATCTTATGATAAATAATTAATTAGGAATCCATTTTATTTCTAAGATGATGACTGCTCTGCTGGGGTCACCAAATTATATGCAACCATATATATATATATATATATACGTATTCCAATCTTAATGGGTTTCGTTTAATAATGCTCCCAAAATTTCCTAATGTGAAATTTAAAAAATAATACAAAAAAATGAAAGGACATTTCTTGAGTAGTATATAAATATATATATATGTATGTGTGTGTGTGTGTGTGTGTGTGTATATATTATATAGTCTTGCAATTAGTAATAATATTGTATCAAATATATTGGTGCTAAGGGAAGTTCAAGAGTGCCCTTTCAATTCCAGGCAGGATAACTTGTCCAATTGGT